TAATTCGCGCGTTTCGCTCGCATCACGGGTGATGAACAATTATTGCACCGGCGCACGCGGACATGCACAATGAAGATTGCACGCATTGCAAAAAATAACAAAAAAAAAGAGAAAAAAAGAAACGAGTAAAATAATAATAAAACGCGTACACGCGACGCGGTGTAATCCAGAAGGAATTTCAAAGAATATGTGTGTGTACGCGACTTTTGCGTTAATTTTCTAAGAAAATATATTCAGTATCACGGAAGATTAGAATCGTGATCGCGCCGCAGCACTTGTTCTCCTCTCTTTGCTTAATGAGTACTTCGCAATCATCGTCAAACATTTTTTTTACCTTCTATATCTTTCTTTCTTTCACGAAACTCAAATAGAGAGGATAAAACTATAATCAAAAAATGCTATGTACATACGTGTCGAGCGTGAGTGATGCAACTTATTAGTACACAGTTTTTACACGAAAAAAAAGCACACACATGCACACAGGTTTTATATGTGTGCCTCGAATAAACGCCGCGCATTCCAGCTGCGAGCAAATTGAATTTTACATTATTAAATATAGCCTAATAAAAATCTGATAGATATATATATAAATAATCAGAGGTTGGCGGAACATTATTATAAATTGCAAGCGCGCCTGCAAGTGAGTGTATAATATAATAATATTCGATAACTTTCTCACTTTTACTTGCGGCTAGTCTCTATGGAGTTTGTAGATGTTTGTTAGTTTGTGAGTGTCCACCCATCGTGCGCACAAAATACCGCTCCTCCGACGTCGCGCGGCTCGTCTATGTGAATTATACGTGCGTTATATATCATTAAGAAAATCGCAATTTTCGAGTCTGGAGGTTTATACCATACATTCGCATCGACGCGAGCTCCTCTAGAGAATCTCTTTTCTCGAACAGTCACGATTACGCATTTTGCTAACAGGCATTGGTAGCCGCCGCGGCGTCGTCGTCGTGGTAAAAGCTGCTGCTTCGGCTGCTGCTGGCGACGATTTCCCATTAGATTTTACACTTTTGGCGCCTTAATGAGGCATCCCTGGCGATGATTCGACAAAAAGTACATTTTTACCGGACTCTTGTAGCAGTAGTACTACTGGCTGCTGCTGTTAAGTTGGTGCCACTTATCTCTCTTAGCTTTTTCGTGTCGTTCGTTGCAAGCGTACCGTTCATTTTTTCTTTTCCATATGGGTAACTATATAGGTACGTATTAGCCGTGAAAATTAAACTTTTCCCTGTGTGCAAATGTGTGCTCGCGAGACGAGCGAGCAAAGATATACGTTGCTTTTACCAAACAGAAAACTTTGTTGGCCGCGTAGTGTATTTTTTTGGAATAAAAATCAGCTATTTTTTACTTTTTTTTCTTGTTGGAACACGCGAAACAAAACATGATCGATGTTTATTTAAGCGACGCGCGCGCGTAGGTATATATAACTTTTACGTACTGCAAGTTTTTTCGCGTATTATATGCTATGCACACGCGAGCTCGTACGAAAGGATAATTCGATCATTTTCTCATACATTTCTGAAGACGCACGAGCGGCATAGAGGACGGACTAGACTTTATAGACCCCTGTGCCCGTGTGCATATATTCGTACACACATACACACACACGGTTCGGCCGTAAAACGAAAATTTACTATCCATCCTCGAGTGTAAAATGTATACATGCATGTATTACATATTGCATATACACGCACTACATCATTTTGGGCCTCGCAGCGCGTACGTATAAATATATTAACTATTAAATGTCGTAGATAGCGGTGCACAACGCATAGACAGGCGCATGGAAGAAAAGAGTCGCGCGGCGCGAGAGATGTATTACACAGCAAGCGTATATAGAGTCATATACGTACGTACGTTATATTAGATATACAAACGCGTGCAGTGTATGTATCGGTTGGGCCACGCGCGCGCATCATTCATTCGGGACGTCAGCGTGTAAGGCCGAGCGATAAAACAAAATAATCTATCCGCGCTATATATTTCGTTCTATATATTTCGAGGCTTGGAAAATGACCCCGGAAAAACTGGCGGTAATTGTTTGTTGTCCTGAGCACAGCGATATAGCAATAATAACAATGTGTACGTGCGTACACCGAGAAAGTCTCTAAATCATTCCGTATTTAAACGATTCCTACAGCTCGTATAAATATTTCTGTTTCCAATCTATATTATGCTGCGATGCGACAACGACGAAGACTCAGCTATACGTTAAGTGACGATAATCATAAATCTATGACCGTTGAGAGAGGCATCGACCGACCCGACTATAATATAAGTCGTTCGGGTTCGGTGGACCGATAGCGTCGCATGGCCGGTTTTCTTTGCGCGACGACGACAACACATCGAAGACGCGATCATCCTCGACGCGCTTAACGCTGAAAATATCTCAATCTCGGCGAGTGAGTCTCGAGGTTTCAAAGAGGTGATGATTGATGCAGCCGAAGCGTAATGACGATCCTCGCTGATATACAGATAGGCAGTAGCTCGGCGCGGTGAAATCGAAGAACTGGGGGCGTTTTCGCGGCGAAAATCATCTTCGCCGTCTTTTACGTCCCTCTCTCTCGATTTGGAATCTAATCACCGTTATTATTGCGCGAGCTTTTCCCTGTAATATCTTCATCGTCGGTTAAGTAAAAAAAATAAATAATTATTTTGTAGGAAAGTCAACGCACCCGATCGGTGTATTCAGTGTCACTTTTCATTTCTATCGTGCACGGGACATTTTTACTTACGCAAAAATTACTTACGCGTGAATATTTCATTTCGGCACGAGAAATGCATCGACATTTATACCTGTCTCTTTTAAGCGCAATTCCTGTTCTATATAGCTCGAATTCAAATCGGAATAAATATGTTTCCCTCGTTTTCCGGCTATACATGCGAAGCAGCGGCGGTGCAAGCGGGCTCATGAATTTTCCACTATAGCTTCGTGAGCAAATGCTCCGAGAAAGAGACTCGGGCACGCTACGCGAATTCCGCCAGTCGATACATATATGTAGCCGCGTGCATTGCTTATCTATACGTATGGGTGGCTTATGCATAGCTGCATCGAGTTTTACAGACGAGGAAACAAGAGCCATTTTTTCTTTTCTTTCTTTCTTTCTTTCTCTCTCGCTCGCTCGATTGCATTGTCTCTTTAAGACGATTTCTCGGTTCTCAAAGTGTCTCCATATACGTACGTACGCAAGCGACACACTATAAAAACACACAATCGAACGTGCCGAACACTTTTTTCAAATATATAAAGTAATTACAGGCAGTATTAATGTCGACTTGTCAAATTGTATGTCGCGCGAGGTAAGGAAAAAAAGAAAAATCACGTTGATTAATGTCGATGTGTATTTCTTCGTGCGCAAAACGACATGTACTTAGCTACTTGCTGCATCCAATACACGTGTGGCGGGCTATTGTGATCGAGCATTGCACACAATCAGCTGAATATAATAATGCTGACTTACGCAAATGTCATTTAAAAAAAGTTCCACTCCCAACAAACACCCAATTTGTCACTCTCTTGCACACACGTGTGTGTGTGTGTGTGTCATTTATTGCTGAGAAAGAGATATATATTCGTAATGAGGATAAGAGATCAGGCATCATCGGGCACCGCAATGTGCATATATCCACAAAACCACCTAATATCCACTTCACGATTATCTTGAGCGCATCTCTCTCTCTCGCGCCCGAGCAAACGATGTTTTACCGCGGGGCAATACTTTTATATATACATAAAGGTCGAAGGTAACGTTGTTATACACACAGGCCTCGATGCTGCTGCCTGCACTAAGTGTGTTATAGCGAAACGAATGGTGCAAGACACACATTATGTATCTCTCCTCCTCCTCCCTCCTTGCACAGCCTGCAGATTTGCGCGCGGGGCCGAACTCGCGCGAGCGAGCTCGCGACCTCGATAGGCATGCACCGAGCGCGGCTTACATAGCTGATTCCATTATTTTTGCTCTCCTACACATGCAAAGCATAGACACACTCAAGTACGTAAACATTTAAGATGCTAAGTTAAAGAGCGAATAAATCAAACGGAGAAGATAATCGTTCACGCGCGAGATATATATGTGTACGTAGAGCATGGTAATATCGTTGAGAAGAACAAGCAGAAAAAAATTGATCGAGCAATCATCGAGATAGTTCGTCTATCGCTCTTTCGAGAGAGCCGAGGAGAGGTGATTACTTCGTCGCCCCGAAAATATCATAAAAAGCCCTTGCGGCCATATCGAATCTACGCTGCGGCGGCGGTTTTAATGTCTCGGCCTTTTCTTCTCTTTTTCCAGATTACTCGGTGCGTGCTGCCGGCAGAGAGATGAAAAAGAAATAAAAGACGGAGAAAAAGAAGCTGAAAAAATTATTCATGAGAAAATTTTGCCGTGTGCGCGTGCGACGACGAGGTGATGCGGCAATGTACTTACTCTCCGTGTAGCCCGGTTGGGCAATACGAGGACGCATTATTTGGTCGTTTGGGAGTCGCGCGACGATGATTTTTCGTTATACATAGAGGCTTTGCACGCAATGATGATGCTCCCACCCACTGACTCGATCGTTGCTGCTGCTGCTGCTCAATTTTCTGTCGAGACTTTTCACGCGGGCCCGCGGGCCCGCGGTCGCGTTAGGTATTTTTCGCGCGCAAACAATAAAAAACGAGCATTTGATTGAATATTTGGTTTGACTGCTGCTGCTGCTGCAACGAGCTTATAATAGTAATACTGGCGTGAAAGAGGAATTCACTGAAACGTCGTGAATTAATGTATACATAAGCGAGCTGCATACTCTGCACTTTTGACAAATTTTTCTCCTCTTATGAATTTCTTCATTGTCGTCGTCGTCTTCGCTCGTTACATCGCGATCCATCTTCCTCCGCGTGGCATGAATGAAACACTTAAAAAGCCAATGCAGATAGACTTTTTTTTCTCATATATTTCATCGGTGCAAGATAAAGACATATACATATTTTCGAATGATAGACGTTAATTCACGTTCGCTTATATCGATGAAGAAGAATAAGAAAAAAGGTGACGCGTGTGACGTTGCATTGTACAGAAGCAAAGAGTACAATAAGAAATATTTGTGTGGATATGTGTGTGTGTTGTTGAGTATGTGTGTGTGCGACGCTCAGCGCTGCGCTGCCACTGCTGCTTGGTGAAAATTTCTTGGGCTATTCTCGTCTCGGCTGGGGATCTTGATAAAACTTTGTGTTTCGGGCTGAATTTTCAACTTGACATCGCGTCCTTTCACGCACGCTTGAGAGAACTTGGACAACTGATTGGACGACTGAAAGAGAGACCTTGGTATCACCTACAAGATAAATGCCATGGGAACGAGAAATAATCGAAATATTAATAATAGGCAAAATTAAGGCCAATGATAGGCAAACGTTTCTCCACGAAAGGATTAACGACGATAAAATGAAGAAGAGAAAAAAAGAAGTATAGGTGCGGCGCGCCGCAGGTATCGAAACTCTCTCGACACGATGTAATATTCATTGTTTCGATTCATCTATCGTAATTTGACATCTCTTTTTCTCTCTCTCTCTCTCTCTCACAATACACGAGCTTGCCCATTAGAATATGAAAAGGTCCCGAATAACCACAAGCCTCGTTATTCAAATTGACTCGTTAAATGCTAGATCGTGTCGTCGACGTAGAGTAAAACAAAATGAAAAAAAGAATAAAATAAAATGAAAAAATCAACATGCATCACCCACACAGAGAGAGACATTATAATACTAACCCAGCGCCGATCAGGGGGTGTCCCTGCCGCCTCGACAACGGGGCAACGAGACCTTTCAATCATTTCGCGTATTTGCGCCTCTTGGCCCTCATAATGTATACGCAGCGCTGGGCGCGCGTCATGTTGCGCCAGCACTTGCCGGCCTCCTTGGCGATATTAACCACGCAGGCGTTCGGATTCCTCTTCAGCACCTCCAGGAAGAAGATGATGAAGCCATTGACCTGAGGTGGCTTCGGCTTGCACCTCTTCTTCGGAGGACAAGCCATCGCTTTGGGCGCTGTTGCTGCTCTCTTCTTGGCCGGACAGCAGGGAGGCTTGGGCGGCGGACACGAGGACGGGCAGACCGCGGACTTGACTGCGGATTTGTTGTTGCCCATTCGGTGTGTTTTGTGTCGGTTTGTAAAAGGTGCGAGCTTTTTTAGAGCATGTTTATATTTTTCCTTTATTAACGCGGATAACTAATTTTTTGTCTTCAATTGTCAATTGATTAAACGAATTTCTCGTGGTGATTTACCTGCTGGTCAAGAAGACGTGAACTCGAACTTGAGGCGCGTGCGAGGTTAGTTTTTCTCCTTGGTCCCTTGCTTTGCCATTCTATCGGATCCGCTGGCGCGGGTTGGCGCCAGTCGCGTCGCGTGACGCACTTTTTTTACCAGCGCAATTTTTGCCGTGCACGAGATTGTGGATTTCGCGATGTTTGTTACAAATGTTTTTATTTAAAAAAAAAAAGCAAAAAAAAAGCTATAAAACGTCGAAAATTTTAAACGTTTGAAGGTGTAACTGTCATCGTTACGTGTTACCGAAAGCGACCCGTGCGCGTTTTTGTTGACAAAACAATCGACGACTACTCGTAATGAGCTCGTTTCTGGTACGTATGCGCATACACGCGAATAATCGTCACCGTTCAGACGTGTCGGCCGAGGACGAGGACGACGATGACGGCATATATGAACGGCGACTATTATTTCGACGACGACGGGCCGCGCGAGAAAGTTTCCAGACTTAGGTGTCGACTAGATTTATGAATCGTAATTATAATTGTGAATAATTTATGAATGAGCAGTATGAACGAAAATAACAAAACTGCGCGCTCGCGCCGAGAGTAATTACGCGCGGGGACTATCCACGCTATTTCTGCGCTGAAACAGCAAAAAGATACCAAGTGTGTGTGAGTGTGTGTGTCAGAGCGCGTGCGAGAGGCGCCGGAAATAATTGCAAAATCTCTTCGTCCTCTCGCGTCGTAGACGGTCAGCGAAGATTTTTCTATAAATTACAACAAATAATCTTCGTCTTCTCTCACCAGTCAACGAAAAAAAATTAAACAAAGTTGACGGAGCTTTAATTAAAACCCACTAGCGAAATTGACCCAAATTATAATCGGCGCAACTCATTCGTATAATAAAGCTCCGATCCTCGACTGGTGGCGCCCACGTTTATGCAAGTCGCGCTGCACGTATGAATCAAAGGTAAAAGCCGAAAACAGAAAAAAAACGGAAAGATAAAGCGTGTACTTAAAGGCTTTGTCATGGAAAAGAATACGTGTGTTCCTTTTTCGACCAATATAACATTCCATTGTGCCGAGCCGAGCTCGCGTATATCCTACTATAGGCTTGTCGTTTGAAAGCCATTCAATTTCGCACGTGTGTGTGTGTGTGTCGCTATACACTACTTTCACGATTCTTCCGCTCATCCTTGCCATGCACAGTGCAGTGTATGCATGTATCTATACGCGTACACGTTTCGGAGCATCATCCATCACGGCGAAGCCTATTGCATGCCATAGTATTTACCTATATAATGCACACGTACACACACACACACACACACACTCATACTCACGGAGCTTCATTGCGAATTAATAAGCTTGAAATAATATATAAAAGATTCTCTCCTCCCGGAAGATGCGCGCGCGCCTCGCTCTATGCAAATATATATGTAACGACGACGACGCGACTTTCTCCTCTCGCTTCTTTTTATTTCTCCTCCTTTTATTTTTGCGTTTATATTCTTTATCACGTCGTCACCGCATGCACTTCGCCAATATACTTACCACCGACGCATCGATTATATGACTGCACTCGGAGCGAGAGAGAGAGAGAGAGCAAAGATTTATAATATACGCATTGCCATCGTAATATCGAGCTTTAATGAATGTCTTTGTTTCGCCTAGGCTATGCTCCACGGCGGAAGATGATTTAGAGAGTTTATTATCGATTATTCTCAAGAATTGCGCGTGCGTGCACAATAACAGACAACGCGAATTTTATGTTAAATATACAAACGCACATAAGCCGAACATAAATACAAACGTACGCAAGATGACGCATCGAAAAAAAATAATTCGTCCTGTAGATTTTTCCATCTCCGCAATGTATAACTTTTAATAGCATTAATCTTTTTTATGCATCGTGCGCGGCTACACCGAAGTCGTCACAGGTCGGGGAGGGCGATCCCTCCAGCCTCGTCGCGAGATTCTACAGCGACGATGTTGTTCTTATATATTTTTCATCCTCTAAAAATTATTACGACGATTATTATTATAAGTCACGTTCGCCGATCGATCAAAATTTATCCATATATGTATACAAACACAATAATGTCATCCCCCATATTTCGTACAGTTTATATTCGTATATACATAGCAGTTCGATGAACATTACAACATCGCATTATAATATAATGGCTCGCTCTGTGTGCCATTCCGTGCAATCCTTCAACTATACCGCTTGGCATTTGACATTCCTTCGAAGAAGACGAGCACGTCGCGGTGTGTCTATGTAGATAGAAATACTTAAATTATACATCAAACGGGGGGGGGGGGGG